TGTGCTCCCTCTCCTGAGATGTGTCCCTCGAGCAGGCTGCACTGGAGCGCAGAGCCCTGAGAACTGGCCCAGCTGGGGCGTTTCAGGGTCAGCAGACCCTGCGGGCCAGGCTGTTCCCCAGAGCCACAGCCCTGATTGCGAGCAAGCTGTGTTCCTTGGGAGAGCCAAGGGGGTGCGAGGCCTCCTCCCTCCAGGCTCTCAGGTAGACACACCTGGGCCAAGTGGCCTCACTTTCTGTGATCACCCAGGTCCCCGGGTCAGCTGGGGATTTCAGCCAACAGGTTCTGGCGTGGTCATTACCAGTGCTTCCCCCACCCCATGGCTGAGCCCAGCTGCTGCAGGGGGAGCATGCAAGGCGCGGGCTGGGGAGCGTGGCAGGATGACAGGCGCGTGCCTGTGAATCTCTAGGTGCCGTTCAGGGCCACTGGGTGCAGGCACGCAGGCGTCTGTGCTCTTGCTCCCCAAGGACCTCACACCCCGGCTCCCACGGATTTAGACGCCATCTCTTTGCTGAGGACTCCCACATTTATCACCTCCAGCTTAGACCACCTTCCTCAACTCCAGAGCTGAATTTCCAGAGGCCTCTTGACATTTGCTCTCGAATGCCTGACTCCTGGGCGCCTCCAGTTCAGTGTGTCTGAGCCAAGGTCCTCGTTTCCCTGCAAACCTGTGTCCCTATCTGATGTAATGGCCACTCCCTCCTTCCAGTTGCCCGGGGCCTCTTCACCCCTGACTTCCTCTCTGCATCTAACTGTCAGCTCTGCCTACACTGCATGTGCAGAACCTGGCCACGCTCACCTCCTCCACGGCTTCCAACCTGGACTGACCCTCCATCCTCTCCCTGGACCTCGCAGGAGCCTGCTTGCTTCAGCCCCTGCCCCACAAAGTCGGATTTCAGCAAGCTAGAGAAACGGAGTTAGAACCCAGGTCAGATGATGTCACTTCTGTGCTCAAAGCCCCCCTGTGGCTCCACATCGACCCCCCCGAGCAGGGCAGAGTCCTGTTCACCATTTACGCCCGCTGCCTACCTGGCCTCCTTCGTCGCACTCTCCCTGGAACAGTTCCCCGTCAGTCCCACCAGGCCCACTCCTGACTCAGGGCCTTTTCATTGATCCCCCACTCCCACATTTATTTTAGAACAGTTTCAGATTTAGAGAAAAATTGAGAAGATACACAGAAACTTCCTTACACTTTACATGAGTATGGAAGATAGATTTCAGATCCCCTTGGGTTTCATCCACTGTCCTCCCTGTCTCCCAGGATCCCCCTGGATGCCACATTACATCTGGTTGTCACGTCTCCCTGGCCACTCTGTTTAGAATGCCTGCCTCCTTCTCTTCCCCTTCTGATCGTCACGTGTCACTTCAGTGAGGCCTCCCTGACTGCCGCAGTCTGGCTGGGCACACAATCACGAGCCACCACACAGCTTGTAGATTCAAACAGCAACTCTTTATTCC